AGAACCAAACTAGGTGCCCTTCAACAGATGAATAGATAAATAAACTGTGGTATATATACACAATGGAATATCACTCAGCCATAAAGAAGAATAAAATGATAGCATTTGTGGTTAAATGGATAGAACTAGAAACTATCATGCTAAGTGAAATAAGCATATCCCAAAAAACCAAAGGCCAAAAGTTCTCTCTAATATGTGGATGCTACAACACAATAAAGGGGTAGGGGACAATAGAAGTTGATTGGATTAGACACAGGGGAATGGAGGGAGGGGTGGGGATATAGCTCAGTTGGTAGAGTGCTTGCCTTGCATGCACAAGGTGCTGGAGTCGGGGCAGGGGGTGGGGTTGATGAGAATACAAAAGACAGCAGAATGAATCACATGTAACTCTGATGTAACTCTCCTATGTTCATATATGAATACACGACCAATGAAACTCCATATCATATACAACCACAAGAAGAGAATCCTAATTAGAATAAGCTATACTCCATGTACTTATAATAACTCAAAATACACTCTACTGCCATATATATCTAAAAAGAACAAAAGATATTTTGAACTAAACAAAATACAATATCAAAATTTGTACTGCAGGCTAAAGCAAGTAATGAGGAAAATGTCTAGCATTAAATGCACATTTTAGAAAAGAAAGGCTAAAAATTACTTATCTAAGTTCCATCTCAAGAAGTTAAAAGGACACTAAGTAAAGCCAAAAAAATGAAAAAGCTAACAGCATAAATTATGGCAGTGTGGGATTATGCCTATAATCCAGAAACTCAGGAAAAGTGAGGCAGGAGGATCACAAATTCAAAGCCAGTCCCAGCAACTCAGCAAGACCCTATCTTAAATAAAAATAAAAAGTGCTGGAGATACAGCTCGGTAGTAAAGCACTCCTGGGTTCAAGCACCAGTACCACACACAGAAAAGCATAAATTAGAGAATTATAGTAAAAAATGTACAAAGAAAGAAGCAGCAAAGATGTAAGGTGGTTCACCAAAGAGGCTGAAACATTAATAAACCTTAGCAAAATACATGACGAAAAAGTTAAAAACTGAAGGCAGTTAAAAACTGAGTAACAAAAAAAGGAACATAAAAAAATATACTACAAATCTTATAGACAGTAAAGTATTGTGAATGTTGTGACAAATTCTTGAAATTTAGATGAGCTGTACAAATTTCTAGAGAAAACAGAACCTCAAAAGTTACTCAAAAAGAACACAAACTCTGAAACAGCTTTCATCTATGACAAAAATTGCCTCTTGTCACACTCCAGACCCAGGGGACTTCACTTTTTTTTTTTTGGTACCGGGGACTGAACTCAGGGGCACTCGACCACTGAGCCACATCTCCAGCCCTATTTTGTATTTTATTTAGGGACAGTGTCTCACTGAATTGCTTAGCACCTTGGTTTTGCTGAGGCTGGCTTTGAACTTCTAATCCTCCTGCCTCAGCCTCTTACAGCACGTGCCACTACACAGGGCTCCAGGGGACTTCACTAATGAATTCTTCTAAACGCTTAAGGCATAACCCAGATCACCCTTGAACTCTTCCAGGGATCAAAGGGAAAGCACACTCAATTTACTTCAAGGGTCTGGCATTACCAGGATACTAAAAACCTGTCAAGGACATTGAAAGAAAGTAAAATGACAGGGAGATACCTCTTGTGGCTACAGTCACAAAAGTCCTAAGGAAAACAGGAGCACACTGAAACTCAAGGCACAGGAGCAGGATCCCAACTCTCCCATTGGTAACAAAGCTGAGCAACCCCACACAGAGCCCACCTTGTCCTTGCAATAGTCTCTTAAAGAAGGCTTTATGTACGGAGAAGCTGAGTCCTAGAGAGGCCGAGGAACCAGCCCAAGATCCCACTCTGAGTAAAGCCTGAATGGACAAATTCATTCCACTTGTTGGACACTTAGAGGCACCTGCTGTGCCTGGCAAGGCCTGGGACATGTTTTGGTGCCTCCACCTCTCCCTTCTGCCTCACTTTGACCTCTCAGTCATGAGACCAGTGTCTGCTCTGCTGGTGTACAGCATCACAGTGGAGGAGGGCCAGCATGGCCAGTGCAGGCTGCCAGCACCTAAGGCTGCTTCACAGGGATCCAGAGTTCTAGGGCACACGATGCCATTCCCTAGGCTCCCTGAGCTGACCCTGCCCAGGGAAGCATGTAGTCCTGGGTATTAGAATGCAGCTGTGTGAGCCCCTGAACTGTGCCAGGCTCTGCCCATGCTTCTCATATGACCCTCAAAAAACTCTGCAAGACAAATGTCAATGCTTCCACTTTGCAGATGAGGAAAGTGGGGCACTGATAGGGTCAAAGAATTCCCTGGCCTCGCTAAATGGTGACCATCCATTTAAAAAAAAAAAAAATGTACAAGGGCTGGGGCTGGGGCTCAGCAGTAGCACACTTGCTTGGCATGTGTGAGGCTCTGGGTTCAATTCTCAGCACCACATAAAAATAAATTTAAAATAAAATAAAGATAATTTTAAAAAATAAAGGACTGGGGGGTTAGGGTTGTGGCTCAGTGGTAGAGCACTTGCCTAGCATGTGTGAGGCACTGGGTTCCATTCTCAGCACCACATACATATAAATAAATTAAATAAAGGTCTATCAACAACTTAAAAAAAAAAGTACAGAACCCAGAGGGATACCACCAAGGTATAAGAGATCAGATACATACAGGGTTTTTATAAAACCAGTAAAGGTTTTCGTTTGTTTTGCAGTACAGAGATTGAACTCAGAACCTTGAACATGCTACATATGACTGAGTTACATCGCCAGCCCTAAAGGAGTAGTTTTTAAAAAATTTTTTTTAGTTATATATGGGCACAATATCTTTACTTTCTATATTTATTTTTATGTGGTGCTGAGGATTGAACCCAGTGCCTTACATGTGTGAGGCAAGTGTTCTGCCACTGAGCTACAACCCCAGCCCCAGGAGTATTTTTTTTTTAGATGAACATAACACCTTTATTTTATTTATTTGTTTATTTTTATGCGGTGCATGTGGTGCTGAGGTTTGAACCCAGTGCCTCACACGTTGCCAGGCAAGTGCTCCACTGAGCCACAACCACAGCCCTTAAAGGAGTATTTTTTAAATACACTCAGCCATGGTAAGTTCTCAGGAGCCCCATCCAGGGTTCAAGGTTTAGGGAAAGGGGACAAATATGATGGGCTACAATCATGGACTTTTGTCACAACAGAGGTAAGGGAAATTTCCCTCTGAAACAGATGACTCTAAGACCAGCTCAGAAGTTTTAAGACTTCATTAGTAAGTAAAGAAAAAACGTCCAGAGGAATGTTGCATCCCTTCAGCTAAATGATTTCATGTGTGCCTTCAAATACCACTGTCTAAAGAATGTGAGTGAGGCCCAATGATGGGGTTCCAGTGTGGTCCCTCCAAATTAAAGCCCCATCTGCCTTAGTGGCAGGAACTAGGAAAACAAATTTCAGTAAATCCAGAGCGCACAGAACCTCCTGATCATAAAATGACATGGTTCCCAGAGCACAGAACCATAGAGTTTCAAGAAAGGGAGATAAAAACTATGGATAACAGGAAATTGGTGAACGTGATCTCTGGAGACCTTTTAAAAGCATTTGAGATGAATCCAGACCAAAACCCATTTAAAAGGCTGAGTGAGTCACATGAGAACCAAGAGCACCATCCTGTCATGGATTAGGCTGGAGCAAAGCCAGTAAACAAAGAACAGGGAAAGCCAGGCCCTTCTCCAGATGGAAAAAGGTAAACATTGGGGTCCCCAGGGACTGAGCTGGTTTTCCTTCCTCATAAGTGACTTGGAATGGAAGTAAGTGGGAAGTGGCTCCCTGGGGGAGGGAGCTGAGGTAGATGGGTAATAGGTAGACATGAGCCGTGGGAACATGGAACTCTACAGATGGGGTCTCCATGCTAACTCACAACGTGTTTTTAAAGAGACAGCTTTCACAAAGTCATCATGGCCCCGCTTTGACTTAAGATAATAGCCCCATACCCAACAGCATCAGCACCCAAGGCTTCTCCTCAAGTAGGAGAAAGAAAGATTAATCTGACCAGCGGCTAGACAGCTCAACAGCCTCAAGGTCTGTGAAAACAAATTCCAAATAAAATTGGCCAGTATGGACCAAGGTGACCAAAAGTTGCCTTTAGATCCTTGACATGTTATTTAATCTTATTGTAATTATACATTTTCTCACCTCTGTGGGGTTCACTTAGGCTCTTATGGTTAATAACATATGCAGTAGGGATTTAGAAATATGATCCCATCCAACTGTCAACAAGAGCTAGGAGTGGATTCTCCAAAAACTCCCCCTTAACTGCAGTAAACACTGGGCCACAAAGAAGGGAGTTGTCACTCTCCTCTTTTGAGAAAAAACTACTTTCCCTCTTATACTCTAATAAACTTTACTATATTTTTTCTATGCCTCCTCATGTCTTGCTTAAAATTTTCTATTGCAAGAACACAAGAGCTGATAACACAATGCAACCACTAGTCTGAGGTCGTGGGATGGGCCCAAATGCACTTGCCCAGCAGAGGCCCCAGCTCCTCTCTGAGCACATCAGCCAGTGCACAGTGCAAATCTGCATTTGAACAGGCTAGAGTAGGGGAAGGGCAAGAAAGGCATAACACAAACAACTGCCCAGGGAGAAAAAGAATCCAAAATACACCCAACAAAGCTTTTCACCTGAGAAAACAATGGCACAGAGTCATTGCTAGCTGCCTAGGCAATGCATTTCTTTAAAAAGAAAAGTCTTACATTATAGGGAAACAGAACAAAAACAGAAAGCAAGAGGGAAGTCAAGGAGAGGAGATTTGGGAATGAGAAGCTCCTGGTGGTCCAGAAACAGCTCTCTGAGGACAAGCAACCCATGGTTCAAGTAAGGAACCAAAACCGGACTTCTTCCAAGGAACACCAAGCCCTGCAGAGCCCAGGTGATCTGGCCCCTCTCCTCTTGTGGGCCCCTCTTCCCAGGCCCCAGCCACCCCACCAGAGCCTCACCTGCTGCTGGCTCTGCTCCTCCAGGTTCATCTTTACCTCCAGCGACTGGCGGGCCTCCAGAAAGGCCTTGCGGTGCTTGCGGTCTGCCATGTAGTAGGACATGATGCCCACGATGATGGCACACAGGTAGAGGAAGACGTTGGCCAGGATCTAGACCCCAAGGAGGAGAGAACAGGATGGTGGTGAAAACATGTCTTCAGGAAAGAGGGATGGGAGAGCTGGGGTGGACAGTAGCCACGATCAACCTGGAGTTGCCCAGTGCCCAAGGAACCCAGCTGAGCTCCAACCCTGACTACAGAGATATGGCATGGCTCCTGACCAGGAAGGCTCAGGGGCCCACAGGCTTGGTGCTAGACTGCAAGGCTGGTTGAGGGGCCACTGTTCCCCCTCCTGCTTCACACCATGGCCAATGCCCTCCACCTGACCGCTCCAGACCCGCAGCCCCTGTCAGTCAGTCACCCATTGGTTCAGGCAACAATGAGCCCTCACTAATGAGATGCCCCTAGGTACTGTGCCAACTCACTAGAGAAAGGATGTACAAATCCCAGATACCAGCAGAAGAGTGTAATCCTGAAAGTTACAGATATCAGGGACATCACAGGAGACCTGAAGAGGTCATGGGCTGGCCCAGCTGCCATAGTGCTACCTTAAATGTACGCCTCAGGTTTTTTTCTGGGCATCACAGACATCTGTCACCAGGGCACAAGAGAGCAGTCAGCACCAGTCCTCATGTCTCTTGAGGAACTGAAGCTATGGACAGGATGGGGGTGGGACCTGCCTGTAGGTCTACCACTGGCACAGAGGGCTCCTTGGGCCTTGAGAGTCTGTTCCCATCCCTGACACCCTGCAGACTTCCCTAGGTGTCCTGGTCCCTGACATTCCCATAGGCTGCTGGGACTGCAGACCCAATAGCCTCATGCTGAAGGCAATCTTGGATATGGATCTTAACATCCACTCCACGCCTGGCTCCTGGTGTTGGATGCTGCTGACTTTGACCCTTTGTCTTGACTGGGCCCCCCACAGCTGGACCAGGTACCAATTCTTCCAGTGTCTCCAAGCCCACTGGCCTCGGTTCACTGCTTCCTGGTACCAGTCCTCCTGCTTTCCTGGTACCAGCTCCATACCCTCCCCTAAAGCTGTACTCACCCTCCACACCCTGATTCCTGAGGTCCTGCCCAGGGGAGAGAGATGCCTCCCATGTGGGTGTGGCTTCTCAGACACAGCTGAAAAGTAGAATGGGAAGGCTGAAGAATTTCTTAATTTCCAGCCCTGAAGGGAAAAGGATTGGCCCAGCAGACACAACAGATTCTGGTGTCAGAAAGAAAATGGGGGAAGTCAATTTTAGCATTTTAAACAAGATGGTTTTGTAGACAGAAGGGAGGTTGATTCTGACGTTAATTTTCTGGGGTCTCTTGGTTACTCCACATCCTCTCTGATTTTGTGTGTTATCAGGGCTGATCAGTAGCACCCTGAGGATCCACCACCACCACACCAGGCAGAAAGTTCCTGTAGTAGCTACATGTGGTCACCAGTGCTGAGTCCCAGGGGTATTCACTGTGGGCCTCTGAATAATAAGTAATTAGGTGAGGTATCTTAGTGCCAGTCCATAAGCCACCAGATAAAAGTTCTCAAGATTCACTGATGGCTGGCTCCAACACATAATGACCCAATCACTCACAGCATACGGTGGGGGGTAAGTGGGGGTTTCAATACCCTCTGCAACACCCCCTGAACCTTCTGCTTCCATGATGGCTCCCACTGTCTGAGCAGTCAGTATAGTAAACACCTGGTCATCTGAAAAGCTGCCAAGTGTGTCCAGTGACTTGAAGTAAATCACACAGGTCACGTAGGATCTCAAAGCCAGTCTCAGGAACCTCTACTGGCCCAGAAGCTGCCTTCCTATATGGCCACATGACCTTGAAACCTGTCATCCCCCAAGCTCATAGTGCCACAAGTATGGAGGGCTGGTTCCAGGTCAGGCTGGTGTCCTGTTTTTCCTTACTGTCCAGTACAGTAGCCACCAGGGCTGAGCCTCTTCTGGGCTTACCAGGAAGCCAAGGGAGAAGCTGCATATGAATTAGAAGCCAACTAGGACCCATATATCTGGGCCCCTGCCTGGTGGGTCCCCAAGGCCCTGGGGATCAGCCCCCATGAGCTCAAACCCAGTTCAGAGGGGCTGTGGTGCAACCAGGAGACCCCAGAAAGACCCTTGAACTGAGGACTTTAGAAAGGGGCCAAAGACCTACCTCTAAATCCAGCCCTGGCCACAACCAGTCTGGGAGGACTCTCTGGGCTGAGGATAGAGCTCTGAACCTGGGATCATCCTGCCCCTACTGACAGGCCTTGGCCAGTCTTCCCATGGGAACAATGGGACAGGCTCTGCACAGGGTTTACAGCTGTTACTCCTCAGGGTGGCTACCTAAGAGAAACAGAGCACTCGAGGACAACTACTGCCACCAAGATTAGAACCCAAAGAATGTATAAGGATTGTTATGATTGGGATATGAAGTGTCCCCAAAAGCTCCTGTGTTAATGCAGAAATGTCTGCAAGTAAAACAAATCGGACTGTGAGAGCTGTAACCTAATCAGTTCATCCCGGTTTAAATGGACTGGGTGGTCACTCTAGGTAGGCAAGGTGTGCCTGGAGAGGGGGCCGCTGGGGCAATGTTCCGGAAGGGGGCATCTTCCTCTGGCCCTGTTCCCCTTCCCCAGCCTCTATGCTTCCTTGTTACCACGTCCTGATCAGCTCCCCTCCACCACGCCCTACTGCCATGATTTGCTGGCTCACTTTAGGCCCAAAGCAGTGGACTCAGTGGGCCAAGGACTAACCCTCTGGAACAGTGAGTCTCAGGGGTGCTGCTGTTCTTTTCCATTCCCCACCCCCCTCTGTATCATGAACAGTCATGGCTCTGAGGCCTGCCAGAAGTCCAGCAGTCCCCAGCCAGGTAACAAGTGGTGGAAGGCTCAGCAAAGGTCCCGCAGGCCAGCTCTCAGCCCCAAGTTCAGGGCAAGAATCCAATAGGCAGAGGCCACCAAGCCAAGATCCTCAGGGGACTCCAGGGAGCAGAGTCTGCTGGGGGAGGAAGGTTCACAGGAGCAGGAGGAGCTGCCCGGTGACGGAAGAAGGCCTCCAGCACAGAACAGTCACTCAAGACACTGGGCACCCTCCAGAGGTGCGGTACAGCTGGAAGGCGGGCGGCGTGCAAACACTCCCAGGTGAAAATGATGTGCGAAGGGCATGGAACCCCTTCTTCTGGCCTCAGTTTCCTTGCCAAGGACATCACCTCAGCATCAGGACATTCGTGGCCTAGACACGGGCACACGCTTCTTGAGCCTCATCCCGTTTACAACCAACATTGAGGTGACATTCTTCCAATCTTATAAAAGAAACTGCAAGGAAGCAAGGTCTCAAAACCACACTCCCACGCTCGTGTCTTATTCTGTGGTTCAAAACCCCATTCGAAAGCACTCAGCTCATTTACATATTTATAACTCTACCTTTTCCCGGAAAGAACATTAGACATTTTTAAAACTAAAAATTGTCAGGAAAATATCAGCCCTCAAGTACTTTGGCGTGAGCTGCAGACATTTTAACTGGAAACTCAGAAGCGCATCTGCAGATTCTCCACAGCTTCTTCACATGGCGGGGACTGTCACATTTATGCAGTTAAAATTTATAAATGGATGTTATTTATTTATAATTATTTATAAATGGATTCATTAATGAATGTATCCCTCAAAATATACTTTAAAATACTGACCTTTACTCTTTTGACACAGAGTCAGCTTGAGTGTCCCTGTCCTCCAGAAGCCACTGCAGGGCAGGAGAAGGCCCAGGGCCAGGCAGGTGTGGCCCTGGGGAAAGACCTGACGATGGGGAAGCAGGGAGCTGTGGTCCCTCTAAAACACACTGTGCGCACTGACGCTCACTATAGTTTACGAACTAGAGACCCATGGGGCAAAACCGGCCCCCAGGGAAAACGTAAACCCTAGTGAGAATCCAAAATGGACCTCTCGCGTCACCGTGACAAACGGATTTTCTCCAAATTGGGCCTTGAGCTCCACCGGTCCGGATTAATTTTCCAGTGCTCTCACCCCAGGGTAAGGGGGCTTCTTTTCGGAACTCAGGTCTTCTCCCTCCAGGGCTGCCTCCTGCCTTCACTAGTTCACCTCCTGACCCACCCCGGCCACAGCTGCCCCTGGCAGGAGAGGACTGCTCAGGCCTCCTGTCCACTCTTAACACTTCCCCGTCGGCACCAAAGGCACCTCTCCACCCCACACGGGGTCCCTCACTGTCTGCCGACAGACCAGTTTCCCACACCAGATGGGGCACCTGGGAAGGTGGACACCAGTGTCCCCTCCCTGTGTGTCGCCAAGTCCATCCTGGCCCATCTAGCACCAGGTACCCAGGAAGTCATGAGATGTCAGACTGGACTGACCTGGGGTGGTGACACCACACTGAGACTCATCGGGCCAGGAGAGCAGAAGGCATCAGGAAACACAACCTGCCATCCCCCATGGCCTCCCCAGGACCCAGCTTCTGCTGCTTGGGACTCTTTCTTAATACCCCCCCCCCCCAAGCTTCTCCTACCCCAGCCTGTCTTGAAAGCAAAGAGGAAAGAGGCTCTGTCAACCACACAGGCCAGGAGAGCAGAAAGGGGGACAGTCTGCAATCTGCCGAGAGCATCAGGGAAATGGAAAGCACACGGGGAGCGGAGAGGTCTGCATGGCCGGGGGATCAGTCAGGGCAGTGCCGAGCACAGCTTCCTGAGGCACTGGCATTCAAGATGGGGTCTCTGGAACGCAGGATGGGTATACACACACACTCCGGAGGGCCAGCCAGGAAGCCTCCCCCGCTTTGGAATCATTAAAGACACTTGTGACAAGGCTCCACCTGTGAGCATTCTGCACATGCACCACCTGACCAGGAGACCAGAGGACGAGCAGGCAGGCCCCTCTGGGCCCCTCACTGCTCCCTGTGTCCCTTAGACCTGCACAGCAGCAACACCAGGAATTTGTTAGGCGCTGCACCCTGAGGCCCACACCAGACTGAGATCCCAGAGAGGTCCTCAGAGGCACCAAACTGAGAACACTGCTCTGGAGCACCACTGAAGTCACTTTTGCTCACCCAGGGTCCCCTTTAGGCTGTG